GGCCATCCCTATATAGAATCCGAACCCGCGGCCTCGGCACTACCAGCGCCGCACTCTCCCGAGTGAGCCACGGGGCCGGCCCAGCATTGTCCATGTTGTACGAAGTCTCTGTTGCTAATTTTAAATGGCCTCAATAGTCCAAAGAGTGGCTCCTCATTGATCCTTCAACCCTGTCTGGTATGCACCCCTCATTACATTTCAGCCACACTGGCCTTCTTGGAATTTCTCTAACACCCATGCTCATTTCTGCCTCAGGGCCTTTGCAGTGGCTCCTCCTTCTACCTCTAAAGTGCTTCCCTGGCTTCTTATGTGGCCAGCTCCTTCTCACCTTCCATAGCTCAGTTCAAATATCACGTCTTCAGAGAGAGCTCCCTCTGACTACTATAGTCATATAACAACTCCCTCAGCCTCTCTTTATCTCATCACACTATTTTGGTTTTTCCTTAGGGTGGGGGAAAGCTTTATAATTTTATCACTTGAAACGATTTTATTTATCTATTTGTCAACTTGTTTATTGTCTCATTCCCTCGATAGACTGTAAGCTCCACAAGGACAGGAGTCTTGTCTGTCTTGCTCATCACTGATCTCCTAGGGGCGAACACAGTGCCTGTCATGTAGTAGGAAGTCNTGTCTTGCTCATCACTGATCTCCTAGGGGCGAACACAGTGCCTGTCATGTAGTAGGAAGTCAATAAATACGTATTGAATAAACAGATGGGTGGTTAACTGGTTGGATATGTGACTGGTAGGAGGCTGGGTGGGAAGTTGAATGAGGAAGTAGGTAGGTCTCAGGGGACAGTGGGTGAGTGAATGGATAATAATGGATAGTGGGTGAATAAATCCTACTTTTACTCACCATTCCCCAATTCCACATTCAGAGTGCTCCCCCATGATATTTTTAATTGCTTTGAACAAAGGGAGTAATGTAAATGGTGAGGAAGTAAGATAAGTTATCTCTTGGGAAACCTGACCCCTACTCAGGGGCCATCCCCTAAAGGCCCAGGCCCGGGTGGCTGTTCAGGCTCCCTACTGAGCGAGGGTGGCCTGGAGGTTAGGAGGGTGGTGAGATTCTCCAAGGTCCTCTTGCGTGTCCACCCACCCGTGCTCAGGACCTTTCCGCCACACATCTGCTTTGTCCCTTACGTAGTGGGCCGGAAGCAGTTCATGCGATTTGAGTGGGCAAACCACGCAGCTGAAGCCCTGGGCTGCGAGTACGAGGAGCTGAACACCGCCACCTTCAAGCACCATCTGCGGCAGATCATTGAGCAAGTGACGTCCAGGCCCAGTCGACGGGGCTTTGAGGGCGAGGAGACCAGCTCAGGTACTGCACTGCTGCTTTCTGGGTGGGCTGGGTCCCCCTCTGGGCCAGCCCTGGGGGATGTGCTGGTATTCCTTCACTTACTCATCAGGGATTTATTGAAGGCCTACTGTGTGCAGGTCTGTGTGAGGCGCAGGAGAAGACAGCCTGGGCAGAAATGGACGTGGTTCCTGCCCACATGGTGCTTTCAGCCAATAATTAGCTCTGTCCAGTGGGCATGAGTGATGCTGACACCTGTGTTGGGCAGAGGGGACACCCTGGGCAGTGCCAAGGGACCAATACATTTCCATTCTGTCTCACATTTGTTAAGCCCCTGCTATGCAGGGGAGGAATGATCTTTATGTTTGAAGAACAGAAACACAGCTGGAGCTGAGTGGTAGGATGGTGGGAAATGAGGGTTTTTATTCTCATACCCTTGAGAAGCGACTCTGTGGCATAAGCAGGGGAAGGACATGATTTCACTTATTCTTTATGAAGCTCAGCCTGGGTGAAGGCTGTGGAATGAGTGGGAGAAGAGAGACCCATTGGGAACCTATAAAAGTCACCAGGTGAGAGGTGACGGTGGTTGGACTAGGGAGGTGGTGAGGGGGGGGGCAAGGTGGACAGATTCTGGGCCTATTTTATGAGTTGAGGTGATAGAGTGGGCCCTAAGGGCAAGAGAGGGACCAAGGATGGCTTTCTGGGATGTTGACCTGAGCAGCTGGAGGAATGAATGTGCTTTTAACTGATGTGGGGGGAAAACAGGAGGACTTGTACTGTGCTTGCAAGGGTGGAATCTGCTTAGTTCCAAGTCTGCAGTTTCTGCTAGCCAGAAGCTTTGATTGCAGAAGATGAGGGTAAAGGGACTCTTTGAAGCTCCAGGGGTCTTTGAAGACTCTCTGAGTAGCTCTCCTTGAGACAATAATGTT